CCCCAAAACCCCAAAACCCCAAAACCCCGTCATTATTAATGTGTTAAAAATTAGCATGAATAATATGAATTCTGTCTATATGTTCTTAATAGTTTTAGTTAATCATAATATCAAATATAAATAAGTACTTGCTGAGGATTAAATAAAATGAACAACGTTAATGTCTACGAAGCAATTTAATAAAGAGTTTCCGGTATATTTGAACCTAAAAACAATTATTCCTCCCTAAGAACCCAAGAGTAACCAGAGAATGGATTTCGTAATACTATAATTAGGATACTACTAGCAAACATTCTTTTCATTTTACCTCATTTTCATATCTGTGAAGCCGAAAGCATCAATCATTGTGTGAAGATTTACCATTTGTCTATGCTACCGTATTTTATTCCGATGTGCTTAGCAAGTTTCGTACTTTTTCTCTACGAGCTAAAAACGAGAATTAATGATTATTAGATTGATAGAAATGAATAAAGCAAGAAATTCATTATTTTTTTGATCGTTGACTTTGCAATCTTACTTTACTCATTCTCTGAAGTATCACCTGCTAAATTTGGAGGTGTCTATTGCTACCTATTTCTGTTTTTCCTTGGGATGTATCTTCTAAGCAAATTCATTTAATATGGTACAAGAAGGATGTCTGAATATATGGGGAAAATAAGAACAGTCTTGATAATCTCATTCTTGATATTGGTGGGTATCAGACTATTTTTTTTCAATAGAATCTATAACAGCTGCGCTAATTGGAAAACAGGTATTTCTTAAGGCATTGATGAAAGCCGTCGCGACTCTTGTAATTTAGCAAACCTTAAGTACTGTCCTTATGAAATCACTGATGATATAGTAGACTTATCAGCAATTTTTTCTATGTTCAATTGTGAGAACTTTGTTTACAGACTAATATTGATTTAAAAGTACTACCCCTATTCACCAGGCCACTTCTATGCTCATCCTTTGACCAAATACTTTAATGATACATAGAGACATGCAGATAAATTTCCAACATAGGTTTTGTTAAATACAAAAGGATATATGACATTATAGGAAGCATTAGATAATAAGCATGAAGTAATCATAGATATTGATAGTGGTTAAATGCACACGAGTGTTTAGAGAAATGAGACACTAGTAGAAGAAAGAAGAGAAATTAGAAAGAATTAAAACAGAGGGGATCTTTAATAGCATATGCTTCTAGTTTTCATAGACACTTTGTCTCGCCCAAGACTTCATGTTAAGATGCCAGAAACCGTTTAATTTCTAAGGGAAAGAGACCATAAAGAATTTATGAGACTTCATGCGATTTGGACTAGAACTTAGGAGAACGCTCTAGCATTATTGTATGGGATTGTAGAAGATGATCTTGTAAATACTACCAGAGACCACAACGACAAAAATTCTTCAAAATGGAAAAAGCCAGATGTGAAATTGGATTCTATCTTTGATTATTTTCATAATCATGGATTTATAACAGGTTATTCAGCAAATACATGTGAGACTAACATTTTCTATTGGAGAGAATTTTTCTATGAGTATGTTAAGAATACTGCTCCTGACCATGAGCATCTCACTCCTACCTGCGATCCTCATTTAAGAGAGCCTACATCTGACGATATGGATTTTGTGAGCTCATATGCGTCTGCTAGGCGGTGTGTATACCACCGAGATTCATCTGAGTACATGATGGATTATTATAAGGAGTTCAAAAAAGCCTATCAGAGCGAGAACACTATATTCTTGATGAATTTTATGGAAACTCATGAGGGAACAGGCGAGGTTATAGATTATTTAGACAAACCATTAGCTAAATTCCTTAAAGAGATGGAAGATTAGAATACAGCCCTGATATTATTTAGTGATCATGGATTGCATATGTCTGGCTTTAAGTTAGGGCTTGGAGGAGATTAAGCAGAGATCGAGCGCTATTACCCCTTCCTAATAACTTCAAATATTCGAGGATTATCTATGGAACACGAAAGAAATCTTGACTTCAATACACAAAAAGTAGTTACTCACTTGCATCTTAGAAATTTTTTAATGTACTGGGCATCAGGATAAGTGAACGGAGAAAAGATGAACCTTATCAATTAATTACCGCACGATAATGATAGATAATTATGTGATTGGATAGGATATAAATGCATTTGTGATAATTTCCCAAAAACTGATAGAGCAATGTACATTGAATGGTGAAAAAATAACAAAGGACTATTATCGTAAACTGGTATGAAGAGGAACAGTTTTACACCTTCAACACTATCAAATTATTTATCTTTACTTTCTTAATTTTAAACTACATTCTTTTTGTCTAGAATTTTTCTGTTGGGGTTTTGGGGTTTTGGGGTTTTGGGG